TACCAAACACCTGCCCCAGCACTGAATTGTTAACATGGCAAAACACACTTCATCGCCACCAGATCTTAAGAAACAATGTCCGTCACGTGAAGCTGTGAGAATTGAGTCTCCGTTCCTTGGAAATAGGACTATTTTCTAATTAGTTGATGGTGCAGCCCTGCGTACACTGGTGCATTCCCTTCGACAGGAAAGTGATTCTTCATCGATTCTTCATTCTCATCTGATTTTCCCAAACTGATTTGGCTTGGCTGCCTTCTCTCCTGCTGTCCTCCTCATTCCCCTCTCTGTCTTCAGTGCTTTACGTCTCTGTCACTCTCAGATCCATGTTCCCCAGGCGCCCCCAAAGCTACATTTACTTGCTTGAACCCCACCACTGGTTCCTCCTGCATCTGATGCTCAATACACCTGAATTAGAACTCATTGCCGGCTCTCTCCACATCTCCCATTCCAATTGGCCTGGCTTTCTTATTTCACTCAATTTCAGCTAGACATGCAAAGCCAGGTGATGATGATGATGATGATGGAGGCAGTGACTGCTACTACTGTTGCTCCTCCTCCTACTACTTAGCTTCTTTTCCTTTGTCCTTCTTATCTAATAAGTAACCAGAGCCTATAGATTTTGGTTATGAAATGCTTAAGTGGCTGATTTATTAACCAGATAGCTGCGGTCTTTTCTTCATGTTTCTTGGGTCTATTGCTTACTCTGTTTGTAGGTTAAGACACAGGCTCTGGCTTTGAAGAGCCATGTGTAGTGGAAGAGGTGGATGAACAATTGGGCCCAGTTAACCTGTAGGAAGGCTGTCATTAAAGATAGGCCTGGGGTGCTGTCACAGCACAGTCAGGTGTTCATTGTGTTCCCAGCTTCCTGGAGAAGAAGGTGCTGGATCTTAATGTTGAAATTGACCAAGAGAACCAGGTAATAAGAACTTCTTAGGGAAAACATGAACAAAGACCTGTATGGACGCTGAAAACATCAAAGCCTGTTTATCTCTCTCTCCCTCTCTCTCTCTCTCTTTGTGTGTGTGCGTGTGTGTGTGTGTACCATAGTTTCAGAACATCCTGCAAATATTAGCTTAATTAATCCTGTTGCAGGATTTTTTTTTTCTGAAACATAGTCACGGCACATCTCTACTGAAACACATGGCCGACTTCTCTTTTTAATCTGAAATACTTCATTTTTCAGTTAGTTTTCCATTCTCTGATTCCAGCCTTCCATCCAGGCTTCTCTCTACCACCACCTGTCACTTGTCCAAAGTAGATGACTTAGATCTTTGAGGACACCACAGTGCTTCCCACCACCATTGTAGCCCAACCTCATTGTACTTGGAATCCCTCTGTTGCCTTCTCTGGTCCTGTCAAAACCTTACCTGTGGCGGTCGGCGCCGTGGCTCACTGGGTTAATCCTCCGCCTACGGCTCCAGCATCCCATATGGGTGCCGGTTCTAGTCCCAGATGCTCCTCTTCCAGTCCAGCTCTCTGCTGTGGCCCGGGAGGGCAGTGGAGGATGGCCCTAGCGCTTGGGTGCCTGCACCTGCATGGGAGACCAGGAGGAGGCACCTGGCTCCTGACTTCGGATGGGCATAGCTCCGGCCATAGCAGCCATTCGGTGGGGTGAACCAACGGAAGGAAGACATTTCTCTCTGTCTCTCTTTCTCACTGTCTAACTCTATCTCTATCTGCCAATTAAATAAAAAAACGTTTATAAAAAACCCCAAACCTTACCTGTTACTTTTTTTTTTCCATTTGGGAAACATTTAAATCTATACAAAGAAAATATTTAGTATAGTGAACGCTGATGTGCCCTCAAATGCTACCGATTACCAAAGGACCATCCAAAATGCTATTTTTTCCATTCAAGCAATTTCTAGTTTCCTCATTTCCTCTGTCTGGCTTTCAATTTGTATATTGTCCACCATGCCTACTCATTGTTATAGGAATTAGATTTTCATACCTTCTACTTTTTTTTTTTTTTTTTTTTAAAGATTGTTTATTTGAGGGGTAGAGTTACAGATAGTGAGAGGAAGAGACAGAGAAAGGTCTTCCATCTGCTGGTTCATTCCCCAAATGGCCTCAATGGCCAGAGCTGAGCTATCTGAAGCCGGGAGCTAGGAGTTTCTTCTGGGTCTCCCACATGGGGTGCAGGGGCTCAAGGACTTGGGCCATCTTCTGCTGCTTTCCCAGGCCAGAGCAGAGCTGGATCAGAAGTGGAGCAGTCGAGACACAAACCAGTTCCCATATGGGATGCTGGCACCACAGGTGGAGGCTTAGCCTGTTACGCCACAGCTCCGACCCTCACCTCCTACCCCTTTAAAAGCAGAATGTTCATCCCCCACTCCTACCTCTTTCAAAGCAGAATTTTCATCTTACTGAATTTTGTGTCTTGCAGTGTCTGTGTTGGTGAATTATTGACAGGGCCAGCTCAAAGCTAGAGAGGAGTTTCACTTGGAATTTAATTCCTACCAGCCAAAATTTACTGGTTGGTTGTTGGGGAAGTGAACTTCTCATTGTAAAGTGACAAAATGATGAAAGAAGGGGAAACTTTTACATAGACATATTAGACAAGGGGTCCTTGATATTGGCTGGCATCTCAGTCATTTGTAAGAAATGTGACTGCTGAGATTTCATTCTCAGGGATCGTGAATCTGTAGAGCTAAAGTAACTCCCAAGGCAGAGGGGACAAGGAGAGAATGGTTCAAGGTTGCTGAGATGTTGGGAACATGTAATTTTAGCATAAGTCACATAAGAGTGGAAAAACAGAGAAGAGAATTTGAAGAAATTAGTTGCCCATATTGGGGACACTCTATTTAGCTCAAATTTTAAAAACAAAAGCACAAGCAGGAGAGAGTATTAATTGAGTATCTATTACATGCTGGACAGCGTTAGACTTGGTCACATACAGTGTGCCATCGAGTTTCTTGGTGACCTGGTGAGATGGTCCATCATCTCCAGTTTGCATGAAACTGAGTTTGCAATAAGAAGTGTTCTCAAGATCACCTTGTTAGTAAGTGGTACAGCCAGTATTTGAATAATATCTTATTAGCATTTAAGTCTGTGTTCTTTCTACTCCATTCTGGGTTTCTCTTTTTTTTTTTTTCTCTGTTTCTTGAAGGGCTCAATGTGAGTGCTCAAAACAGTTGAAAACAAACAACAAATATTCAGTAACCAGCTATTTTGTGTAGGTGCTGGCAAACTCACTGTTCTTGGGGTCATTGTTAATTAACCAATAAGTAATAAGCAAATGCCAAAATTAATAAGGTTGTTATAGATTGTGAGAAAAGTAAGTAGGAAAATAGATGGAAAGTGGCCATGAGATCTATGTTAGAGAGATGTTTTAAACGAAAATACCAAAGTTTGAATAAAGTTGTCTTGGACTCTCGCTACGTTCCAGGCCCTGTGTGGGATATTGGAATGTGAAAGCAGGGCTGTGTGGACAGGGATCCTCAGGGAGTTCTCAGTAAGGTCTGCGAAGGTTCTGTGGCGCACGTGACAAGGCAGTGGAACTCGGAAGCTTAGTACTCTTCTTCAGGAAGGCTGGAGCTCTCCACAAGATGAGGGGACCATCCGGGGACTGGTAAGCTCCCAGAAGCTTCATTCTGCCTCCGTGATATCCAAGTGGCTGCATGTTTTCACATGAGTTTTTCAACTTCGCTTCTCTAAACTTTACATAATTCCAAAAATATGCCCTATTGGCAGGAGTCTCCGTGGTGTACAAGATGTAGTGGTTTGGAAGGATGGAAGGGTCTCTGTCTACTTTGAATGTTATTTATTATTTTGCTAATTTGAAAGGCAGAGGGAGAGAGAGAGAGAGAGAGAGAGAGAGAGAGATTATCTGCTGGCTCACACCCCGAATACAACAGCTGAGTCTGGGCCAGGTCCACGCCAGAACCTGGGACTCCCATATGGGTGTTAGGATCCCAGCTACTTGAGCCGTCACCTGCTGCCTTCCAAGGTGCATGTCGGCAGGAAGCTGAAACAAGGAGTGTAGCCAGGGCTACAGGCAGGCATTACAATATGAGGTGTTCCCAGCACTTCCCTGTCTGCTTTAAGAGGCTGTTGTAAAGCCAGCTTTGTCCCTGCACTCCCCCTTTTCTGCCCTCTCCTGTTAGTTGCTTTACATACGAGCATTGCAATTTAATAACATCTAATGACACTTCTCTGCCAATTTTATTGCCAACTACCCTTGGAACTTAAGCCTAGCTGCAAGTAGTAAGCAGAGGGCAGCCAAGGCCTCCAGGTTGCCAGTTACTTGGCTACAAACCCCATTCATCTTGGGAAACGAATTTTTAAAATAAATTTGGCACTGGAAGCACTGCCATCCTTTTGTGAAGCTATGTCAATAATCGTAAACCCTCCTAATCATGCTCTTCAACTCTCGGCCAAGCTGACAAATATTTAGGCATCCGAATATTCTCAGGATGCCACCTTCTGTTGACTGTGTGGGATTCTTGTGCTGTTTTGCTTGGCACTGGAACACAATCTTCTGTTTTATGTAATAAGGCACATCAGAGAAGCCCTTTATGCGCACCCTCTCCGAGTGGGTGCTGAGCAAGATCTCTGGTGCACCCCATCATTTTCGGTACGGTCATAGCTTAGTGAACATTTCTGTGGCCTGGTAAATATTTTCTAGCTGTTGGCAGGGTGTTTTGCTCTATGTGATCCTTTTTTTCTTTTTTTTTAGCCAGTGCATTTGCTCCAGGCTAGGATTATAATGACCCAGCTTTGGTTTAAGATGAATTTTGAAAATATATGTTTGTGCTGGGACTACAATATTTTCAGAGAAAACAGGCGTGGGTGTGACAGGCGCTGATGTAATATATTGGTGCATGCACCCAATCAGACAGATGAGCTTACTCTTTGCAGATTGTAACAAGAGAGAGAGGCTTGCTGAGATCTGCAGATACACACAGAATTCTCTTTCCGAGAAGGCTTGCTGCTAGCATGTGGCGTAATACAAAGCCCATTTTCTGATCTTTTGTCACTTTTGCATTAGAAGATCAAGGGAAAAGACCATTTCGCATAGTTGGCCATTTAGCTTTATTATTCCGATTGCTCCCTCCCGTTAATTTTTTTAACAGAGTGCTCAATGTTAACATCAGGTGTTGGCAGCCTTCCTTGGGGGACAGATTGCTTTGAAATAAACACAGCTGGAAACGGACCACCTATTGTTTTTTTCTTTCTTCTAAGGACTGGAAGAGGCATTTATAGAAAGGCCAGAGAACCCGGTGATGTCTAGAATCACTTTATAGATTTATTCCTCCAACTCTGGTTAATGATTAACACCATGTCTGGGTGGCCAGAGGAACCCACTCTCCTTCCCCCTTCCCTGCAGCGGCACTTAGCTGGGAACAATGAACTTGCAGAGGTTTACTGCCATCTGAACTTGAGGAGGGGGTGGAGTCTGCTCAGTTCTGTTTCTTCCAGCTGAAGTGTGGTTTTAGGAGCTAAGTAAAGAATGACTTCTGTGGGGTTTCCTGATGCTGGCCCTGCTTGCAAACTTGAAAATCTCATCAGAGCCTCTTCCCCTGGTTTTTTACTGTTCTACTCTTCTACAGGAAAGCAAGTAAGTGAATTATGTAAATGAATTGGTGTGTGTGTGATTTGTGTTTCATTTGATGTACTTGTTAAAGCGAAAGCAGGACATTTTTTAACAGTGTATTTCAACTTGGTTTTGTGTCTCCTTGAACTATTTTTTTCTTATTGCTGCAAGAAGTTGATAGGCTTTGAAATATTGGATTTAAAGAAAACTTTGAAAACTATGCAAATCTTCAGCTTATATGTAATCAAGGGTCTAGAATCTAGAGACAAGAGATTGGTAATTTAACCCAGGAGGCAGCGAATTCAGGGTAAGAATGATGTTGATGTGGGATGAGGATTGGGTGGGTATAAAAGTGAAGTGGGGGGAGAATCCAAGGCCGCCTTCTCCATCCTTGGAGTACTTCGTCATTGTTCAGATCATTTATTTGGTGTCTGTGCCAGCAGTTTCTGCTGTCTGTCTGTCTCTCTCTTTCTCTCCCTCTCTCTGCTGTTTCTTCGTATAGATATTTATGGTTTGCTGAGTTATGGTATAGTAATTGCTATTAGTAGTTGCTACTAATTAATTGCTTTGGTAAAAGTTTTTCCAAGAAGATTTCCTCAATAAATAGCCATCTCTCCATCTACCTTTTAAGAACTGAGTTAGAGAAGAAAAGAGAGAGAAAGGAACTTAAAGAGTAACCTCTACTTTCGATTTGCTTCAGTAGCCACCAGGCACCCTTTTTCACAGGCAAAATATATTTTACTTTAGCTTTGTTTTATTCGAGAGAACTAGAGTGTTGTATCTGTTGGGATTACCTGGATTGCCTATTCCCAGGACTGAAATATGTATGTGGTTATCTGAACAAATCCATTCTGACTCTCTCATTTAGTCCTCACTGGACTATCTGCTTCATGTAAAACTGCATCTGCTATCTCTTTGACTGAGGGAAATGGATGGGAATTGTTGGAATTGGGTCATATAGCATTTGTATTCTCACAACTGAATCCAACACCTAGCATGGCTCCTGGAATATAATGGTCCCTATGCATTTTGAATTCATATTGTGTGTTGCTATTCACTCCATGTGTTTTCAGTTCATATTGACTAACTTAATAGCAAGTGCTATATTGTGATCTGGGTTTCAAGAGTAGGGTGAGTTTTGAATCTTATCAAATGCACAGATAAGCCCTAAAGAGGAGAGAATTGAGAAAACCTGTTATAGTGAAGGTGGCCCTAAAAGACGTTCTTTAGGTTCATGTCTGCCAAGCATATTTTTTCTCACTGTATACAAGTTGGCAGAAGTTATCTAAGCTTTTAGGTTTAAAAGCAGGGAAAGAAAGAGCTCAATTATACATTATATTGAGCTCTGATAATATGGGCAATTCTGTTCCTGATTGTCTGGTTGACCTCTTAAAAAATGAGACTGTAACTTCCCTCCCACCTGCAACCCTCATTCCCTCTCCCCCCCCACTTCCATTCACATCAAGGTTCATTTTCAATTCTCTTTATATACAGAAGATCAGTTTAGCATATATTAAGTAAATATTTCAACAGTTTGCACCCACATAGAAACACAAAGTGAAAAATACTGTTTGAGTACTAGTTATAGCATTAGATCTCAATGTACAGCACATTAAGGACAGAGATCCTACATGAGGAATAAGTGCACAGTGACTCCTGTTGTTGACTTAACAAATTGACACTTTTGTTTATGGCATCAGCAAGCCATTGTAATCCATAAGCTGTACTTTGGAAATTTATATTCATTAAATAAAAGTTAAAAAAAAATAAAGTAAGAATAGTAAATTAAAAAAATGAGACTGTGTAGATTGCTTCCCTATATGACTATAAGTAAGAACTACCTGTGGTGTCTCAGTGTTCATGTGCGTTATCAGAGTTGATTCTCACATTGGTCCAGTGAAGTGCGCATTGATGTTGTGTTGTAACTGAGCAAATTGACAGATGAAAAGTGACTCTGGAGGTCACTTGATGGGTGGAAGAACCAGATGTGAGCCAGTTATTTTAAGACTTAAAGTTGCAAACTCTCCTACCGACCAACAAAAGCTCAAAACATGCTTCCCTCGCCCCACCCATTAAAAAATTCAAAATTCCATGCTTTCCTATCCCACCGCCTCTGTTCTCTACACTTCTTCCATTGTGGAAGAGTAGAAGGAGCCCCCACTTTGGGTGTCAGGAGACTCGGACTCTGATTTGACTGGGTCATTGCCTGCCCTGTGATAGGAGTCACTGAAGTCTTTGGGCGTCATTTCCTTGCAAGGAGGTTTCCCTGTTTGATTTCTTAAGTTTCTTTGCAGCTTCAGGATCTAAAAGGGGCTTACCCGTGGCTTCTGTCGGCCCTGCAGTTCTCCCTTGCAGTGTGGAGAAAGAGGTGAGAAAGAGAGTGGAACCATGGGCGTTCTGTCCAGCTCTGCTTGGTTTCCCCTGCAAGTGGCAAAGAGATGCAGGATCTTCAGATATGAGGAACATCCCAGACTCTGAACTGCTTCCTAAGCTGGTGTTTCTCAGCCTGGTTCTCTTTGGCTCATCAACTAAAGTACTTGAGCCAAGCTCTCTTGTGGTTTCAGCCCAGGGAAGAACAACATCAGATTCCCTTCCCATCTGGCCCCACAATGAGTGATAACCTCCTTGCATGAGCCCATCTGTTATCTTAATCCTTTTTGGAACAGGGCAAATGTAAATGAATATTGTTCTATCCTGCAGCTCGTGGCAGGTGTTTGATTAATGGGCAGGGCAGGACAGTGGAAAAGTATTTTTTATCCTACTTCCATTGTTAACTCTAGCAGTGGTTTACAGACTGATATGGAACATTGTAGGATACTAAGGTAAAGGAGGTGATATTCTAGTGACATTCAAGAGAAAGCAAAAGCCATCGCCATTACTGTGTAAAAGAAAAATAAAACAAGTTGGAATGGCTCTCTCAGCAGGTAGAGAAAGTAGATCTTTGGAGGAAGAGAGAGTTGGCATTCTTATTCTGACATTTCCACCCTGGATTGATGAAGCATCTCATCTACAACCACAGTCAGCCTTGGAGAAGGTTGGTTCTGCCTGGTCCTTTATTTCCATCACTCAGACTCCTTAGGTGGAAGTGCTGATGAGAGCTGAGCACACAGAGCGCTCATTTCCTTCTGTCACAGTCTCTGCCCTTGCTCGCTTTCTGTGATTCAGATCATAAGTTTTTCCTTATGTCTTTTCACACAGGCAAAAAACGAAACCCTGGCCTTAAAATTCCAAAAGAAGCATTTGAACAACCTCAGACCAGTTCCACGTAAGTTGACAAAATCATCTTCTTTCGAACACTTGCACTTTGTCCATTTCCAAGGGGGGTTCCATTTTGCACTATCAAGTGAGGTTTCAGCTTTGGAAATAGTTGTTGTAAGGAAGAGCTCTTCAAGGGAAAAGCCATTTGCTCCTTGTTCTTAGACCTGAAATAATTATGCCCCATCAGTCAGTCTATACTGAATGGCTCTGAACTCAATGTCCCCAGTTATCAATTATGAAAGAATTGAGTGTCAAGTGCATTTGGCAAATGGAGCCCTGTGTCAACTCAGAAGAGGTCCTCAAATGTAGACATTCTTGCCTCCTCCTGTAGATTGGAGCAAACAAGCAAATCTCTGTGAGGGCCACTACTATAAAACTTGAGCTGAAATGGAAAGATGGTATTTGGTGAGGACCCACATTTGACACTTAAATGCTTTCCCATATAAACAGGAGGCAAGATGAAGTAAAGGAACACAACTTTATTAGCTGAGGCTTTGGCCCAAATGCCCGAGTTAGCTCAAGTTCTAGTGAGGCAAGACACTGTGTCTATGAGCCTTCTTCTTGCTTCTTTGTCTCTCTGTCCTGTGTAGAGGGTACCTCCTATTTAACTGGAGGCCCAACCACCTACTAAAGCATCCACATGGGAGGGATGGAAATCCCAAGAAAACAGATTACAGTAGAGATTCCAAGGAGACAGAATAAGCAAAGGGAAATCATCCCTAATGGAATTCTAAGTTTTTAAGGTGTTTGCTCATATCTACAAAAGTGCCTCCCCTTTTAGAAGTTTTTCTCCTTAACTTTGATCCATTTTATCAGAAGATCTACCCCTTTAGTGTTGGGATGTGCTTGTAAAAATGATCACGTCGGGGCTGGTGCTGTGGCTCGGTGGGTAAAGCTGCCATCTGCATTGCCAGCATCCCATATGAGCACTGGTTTCAGTTCCAGCTGCTCTACTTCTGGTCCAGCTCTCTGTTAATGCTCCTGAGAAAGCAGAGGAAGATGGCCCAAGTCCCTGGACTCCTGCACCTATGTGGGAGACCCAGAAGAAGCGCCTGGCTTCTGGCTTTCATCTGGCCCAGCCCTGGCTATTGTGGTCATTTAGGGAATGAACCAGAGGATGAAAAACCTGTCTCTGTCTCTGCTTCTCTCTCTCTGTAACTCTACCTTTCCAATAAATACATAAATCTTTTTAAAAAATGACCATGTATATTGTTAGGACTTTGGTGATGTTGTTGGTCCTTGGCTGCCATGTAACAAGAAAATTTCCAGTGAGGAACTTTCAGGACAGAATCCAGTATAGGGCTTCTCTTCAGACTTCTGGACTGCAGCTCAAAGGGGCAAAACCTCTAAGGAGGAACTGTAGGGAGAAGTTCTTCCCATACCTATAGTCAAGATTACTTTTTTTTTCTATTTCTTTTATTTGATCCCTCTGGGCAATTGGTGGTTCCCACCAATTTATAGGTTACTTGAGAGCTTGGAGTCACATAGATGGCTTACCCTTACTACCTCTCTACTGTTTTATGGGATATACTTGAAACTGTTTTACTTTGAGATAACTATAGATTCATGGGAAGTTACAGAGGGAAGTAGAAGGAAGCACCCTTGCCCCAGCCTCTGCCAAATTCCTGCTCCCTACATGTTAACCTCTTACATATCTATGTTGCATATCAAAACCAAGAAAGTGGTATTGGTACAAACCCTGGAACTTAGCCAATTCCACCATAAATATATGTACTTACGTGTGTGTGTGTTTGTGTGTGTGTGTGTGTGTAGCTCTGTACAGTTTCTCACATGTGTAACCTTGCATTAGCACAACTATAATCAAGATACTCAATTCTGAATGTTACAAGACCCTTTCATAGTATCTCCTTATAGTTATACCCACCTCGTCTCCCCATTCCCATTCCTAATTCATGACAACCACTAACCATTTTGTTATTTCATGATTGCTCTATAAATGGATTCATGCATCTCTTGTTAAGAGTTTTTTAAATTCAGCATAATTTCCTTGAGGTTCATTCAAGTTGTTGTGTATATCAAGAGTTCCATTTTGTCACTGAGTCCTGTTCTATGGTATGTTTACTTTACACAGAAGGTTTATGAAGAGACATGGGTAGTTTTCAGCGTTTTGGCTATTATAAATAAAGATATTTCACGTGTAAGTTCCTGCATGAAGATAACTCTTCTTTTCTCTACTTTATGTGGCTGATATTATAATTGCTAAATTATATGGTAAGCCCATTTTTATTTCTGAAAGAACTGCCAAATTGTTTTCCAGAGTGATTGTACCATTTTATATTCTCACCAATAATGTATGAAAGATCCAATTTCTCAGCATTCAGTATTACCAGTATTTTTCATTCTGATGTGTAGTAATAATATCACTACAATTTTGATTTTCACTTCTCTGGAAGGTAATGACATAGAATATCATTTAGGTGTTTATTTTCCATCTATATATTTTCTTTGGTGAAATGTTTGTGCATATCTTTTGCCCATTGTCTAATTAAAATGTCTATTCTTGACTTTTGAAAGTTATTTATATATTCTATACACAAAAAATTTTTGAACTATGGGATTGATATAGATTTATTTTCTTTCAGTTTGAAATTTTCTTTTTATCCTTTTAGCAAGATCTTTCAAAGAGCAAAAGTTTTTAATTTTGATGGAATTCAATTTATCACTTATTCCTCTTACAGATCACGGTTTAGTGACAAGTCCTAGAACTCTTTGCCTTGCCGTTAGATCCTAAAGTTTTCTTCTGTATTATTGTCTAAAAGTTTTATAGTTTTACATTGAGGTCCATGATGCATTTGGAGTTAATTTGGGAACAAAATCTGAAGTTTAGGTTGAGTTTTGCCTACATGTTGGATTTCCCATAGTTCCCACATCATTTGTTGAGAAGGCGATCCCCTGTCTGTTGAAATGCTTCTACACCTTTTTCTAATATCAGTCTTGCTTGTTTGCTGGACCTGTTTCTGGGTTCTCTATTCTGCCCCACTGATTTATGTGCTTGTCCTTCTGCCAGCTTTACACTGTCATGATTACTGGAGATAAATACTAAGGTCATAACATCCGGAAAAGCAACTTCTCCCACTACGTTTTTTAAAGTTATATTGACTATTCAAAGCATTCTTCTCTTCTCATGTAAGTTTTAGAATAAGCTTGATTATGCCCAAAATTTTAGTAGAAATTGTGTCTAACCTATAGATCCACTTAGGGAAAATTGACACATTTCCTACATTGAGATTTAAATCCATTCACATGTGTTGAACTTTTATTTTAATTAGATTTTTATTACATTTGTTTAAATATTTAGATTTTATTTTATTTCCTTCTTGCATTTTATAGTGCAGATTTCCTGTATTAGGTGTTGTTAAGCTTTAAACCAGGCAAATGGTGTGGCGCAGAGGATTAAGATGCTACAGGCAGTGCTGGCATCATGCTCTGTGGGCTGCAGTTCAAGTCCCAGCTGCTCTACTTCCTATCCAGCTTCCTACTAATGTGCCTGGGAGAGCAGCAAAAGATGGTCCAAGTGCTTGGACCCCTGCACCCAGGTGGGCAATCTGGAGGAAGCTGCTGCTCCTGCCTTCAGCCTTCCCCAGCCGCCATCGCCATTGAGTCCATTTGGGGAATGAACCAGTGAATAGATCTCTCTCTCTCTCTCTCTCTCTTGACAGGCAGAGTAGACACTGAGAGAGAGAGAGACAGAGAGAAAGGTCTTCCTTTTTGCCGTTGGTTCACCCTCCAATGGCTGCCACGGCCGGCACACTGCGCTGATCCGAAGGCAGGAGCCAGGTGCTTCTCCTGGTCTCCCATGGGGTGCAGGGCCCAAGCACTTGGGCCATCCTCCACTGCACTCCCGGGCCACAGCAGAGAGCTGGCCTGGAAGAGGGGCAACCGGCACAGAATCCGGCGCCCCGATTGGGACTAGAACCCGGTGTGCCGACGCTGCAAGGCGGAGGATTAGCCTAGTGAGCCACAGCGCTGACAGATCTCTCTCTTCTCTCTGTCTTTCCCTCTTTCTCTCACTCTCTGCAACTCTGACTTTCAAATGGATAAATAAATCTTACAAAAAAAAGTTTTACACCTAAATATTTCATTTTCCTTGACACAAATGTCAGTGGTATTCAAGGTTTGATTTTGGTTTCTACATGCTCATAGACAGCATAAAGGGATGCATTTGAATTTTTTTGTGCTGATTTTGTAACCTTGAGCTTCCTAACCTCACTTACTAGTAGAGGTCTTTTTGTAGATCCCCTAGATATTTAGACCATCATTCCATGTGTAAACAGAGACAGTTTTGTTTCTTTTCCAGTCTGCACTTTTTTCAAACTTTCTTTTTTAGCCTTACTAAAGTGGCAAGAATGCCCACCACTTCTATCTTCTGCTTCACTTCCCAAATGCCTGCAATAGCTAGGGCTGGGCAGGCTGAAGCCAGGTAGCAGGAACACAATCTGGGTCTCCCATGTGGGTGGCAGAGACCCAACTTTTTAGCCATCACTTGCTGACTTCTTGCATGCACATTAGCAGGAAGCTAGAACCCAAAGTGGACCCAGAAATCGAACCCAGGCACTCTGATGTAAGATGTGAACATTCCAAGTGGTAGCTTAACTGTTGCACCGAACTCCATCCTAAGTTGTTCACTGCTGGGTTAGATCGATAAGAGCAGTCAGCCATGCTTTGTTTTGCGTCTTAGAGGTCTTTTACTATGCTGTATGACATTAACTCCAGGGTTTTTGTGAGTGCTGTTTATGAGATTGAAGTTCTCCTCTAATTGTATGGTACACTGACAGTTTTGAATGGTGTTGAATTTTGTTAAATATTTTCTCTGCATTAATTGATATGGTCAGCAGATTTTTCTTCTTTGTCCTATTAATATGGTAGATGACATAGATTGCCTTTGAAATATTAAACTTGGCTTACATACCCAAAATAAATCCTGGTTGTTTGCTATGCATTTGTTTTACTTTAAGAAATTCTATTTGTTGACGTTTTCTTGAGGAT